TGAGCCCGGCTGCTAGAGAATCAGAAATGTATTTCTCCATGGCCTCCCTTTCTGGAGCAGAAAGCGAGTATAACCTGCCCTTAGGCAGAGACGTACCTGGTACTAAATCTATAGCACAGTCATAGGGACGATGTGGAGGAAGAGAAGCAGCCCGGGACTTACTGAACACTTCCTTCAGGTCGAGGTACATCTTGGGAACGTTAGACAGGCTCACCAGCTCATTCTGCAACAAAGAACAAGACACAGACGAACAAACAGACATAAGACAAGAAGCATAACATTGATCACTCCACGCCGAGATGGAGCTCTGGCCCCAGTCCACCCTGGGATTGTGATGCACCAGCCAGGGGTGGCCCAGCATGACAGGAGCCAGCGGAGATTCAGTGAGCAGAAGTGTGAGTTTCTCAATATGATTTCCTGAGGTGATGAGGGTGACAGGTTCAGTAGTATGTGTGATGCTAGGAAGAGCCTGTCCGTTGAGTGTGTTGACAGAGATAATATGGGTGAGAGGAGCAATGGGGATCTGAAGGTGTTGTGCTAAGTTGTAGTCCATAAAGTTACCTTCAGCTCCGGAATCCAGCAGGGCCTCGCAGTTGTGGATTCCGGCTGCCCATTGCAGTCTTACCGGGAGGAGAGTTGAGGACGAGGATTTTCCCAGGGACAATCCACCCGACAGTAACCTCAGCTCTACTGCCGGGCTTGGCGTTTTACCTGACAGTCAGCCAGGAAGTGACCTGCAGCGCCGCAATACAAACACAGTCCCCTTGCTCTCCGACGGTCTCTCTCCTCCCGGGAAAGCCGAGCTCTTCCCACCTGCATGGGTTCATAATCCGAGGTGTGACTGACCGTATTACAGGAACTGGTAGTGGAATACTCAGGAAGTTCCGACGCCAGCTGGCAGCGTCCTCGCTGATCACGTTGATGTAGACGGGGATCTACCCGAAGAGCTATTTCGATGAGTCCATCAAGATCAGTGGGTAATTCCATCATAAAAATCTCCTTCTGAATCCGGTCAGCCAACCGATGCAGGAACATGTCCCACTGCGCCTCCTCGTTCCACTTGCACTCAGTTGCCAGTGTCCGGAACTCAATGGAATAATCCGAGATGGGTCTGTTTTCCTGCCGTAGATCGGCTAACATGCGTGCCGCTTCGCGACCCGCTACAGCGCGATCAAACACCTGTCTCATCTCCTCCGCAAGTTTGTGGAACGAAGAGCAGCAAGGATGTTGGTTCTCCCACACCGCCGTTCCCCACAGAGCTGCCCGTCCCGACAGCAATGTCAAAACTAAAGCCACCTTGGACTGTTCGGTAGAAAAAGTCAAAGGTTGCAGAGAAAAGAACATGGAGCATTTAGTTAAGAACGCTCTACAAAGATTGGGCTCACCAGCATACACTTCAGGTGTGGGTAGACGCGGCTCGCGTTGATGTTCGGTGCTTCTAGGAGTGGGGAGAACTGGCGGCGAGGGCGGCGCAGTGGGCGATCTCAGTTGTTGGAATTGGGTAGTGATCTCGAACACCTGCGCTACCAAGGCTTGCACAGCTCAACCCGTAGCTAACATCTGTTCCTCTTGTCGATCCATGCGTGCATTGTTGTTAGACAAAAAGTCCCGTAGATCCGAGGCGTTCGCTGAATCCATAGGTAGGTCAGATCGTTCTGTCACGGGTACAAAAGGAGGATTCAATTGCGAATGTGAAATATAACAGTTTATTAGGAAAAAGTCCCAACCAGACCAAGGGCAAGAGTCAAACAAGGCATGTGCAGCATATAGTCACTCTTGGTAGCGCAGGGACGCAAATGGGCACCCGTGGATATCCCGGGAACATACAATCCTTGGGGGCGAATCCTGGAACCGAAATCCAATGAGACGAAGGACAGGAACAGAGAACTGAACACAGCGGGAATACCAACCGATCTGACAACACAGGACGGATAGCACAGGTGTTATATAGCTGAGCTGATGAGCTACAGCTGGCGCAGATCAACATTGTGAAGGGTGTCAATGACTGTCAGATCAGCAGTCTTCCTCATGATTGTGTAGCCTAGTGAACCAAACTGAGAGACCATTTTGAAGGCTCAGGAAACCTTTGCAGGTGTTTTGAGTTGATTAGCTGATTGGCATGTCACCATATTCTAATTTGTTGAGATAGTGGATTGGTGGGTTTTTGTTAAACGTGAGCCAAAATCATCAACAATTAAAAGAACCAAAGACTTAAACTACTTCAGTCTGTGTGCATTGAATTGATTTAATACACAAGTTTCACAATTTGAGTTGAATTACTGAAATAAATGAACTTTTCCATGACTTTTGAGATGCACCTGTAGTGTCAAAGAGAAAATTGGCAGGACAACTACTTATGCTATGTTAATTAAATAATGTTGGACAGAGTTTTCAAACATATATGGAAAGGTGGTATAAAGGTGTTTAAAAAAAGTGCTCTTAGTAAAATACCAAATTTCAGCCTGCCTCCTAAATATGTCATAAATGTTTGCACAATGAAAATGTTTAGATGACCCTTTGTTAAAAAAGATTGTATTTTCCCTAAATGTATTATTAAACATTTTAAACTACATAAGCTTCTGCCATTCTATCGATAGAACGTATTTATAGTTTAATGAAGTTATGCTTAGGGTTAGGGTTACGATCTCGGTGAAGAGGTAATTTCTCATGACATAGCAACACTGCATTGTTAACTTAAGGTATTACTGACGAAATAATAACAGCAAAACGGACTTTGCAACATTAAGCGTTTTTTAATTTGGGTTAAAAGCGAGTTCTGCGAGTGCCAAGGGAACTTCAAAGCCAATGGCAACCCAGTTGAGCAGAGGCATCACACTTGTCAATATATGGTCATTTCAGGGTTCTTGTGGTGAATGGACAGAATCTGTTAAAGATTTATTTGTCCCCCGGCTAATATAAAACTGCAACAGATTGCATCGTGTGGTTAACCTGATGCAGCAATAGATTTGTTGAGTGCAGTGATTTTTTTCTCCAACGAGGGCATAATGGTTCCCATTGTATAGGCTACATTGTTTACACTAATATTAATTGCTGTACAATATTTAAACTCAAACGTTTGCATATACTGTAAAATTTTTTAATTTGCTTACAAACCCCCCCCCCCCACCTCTGATGATTATTCAAAAAGGCAGTAATTTTCTATTATTCAATTTTGCTTCTGTAACATGTACAGTGTATTTATAGTGTATTAAAGGTAAACAATTAATCACTTCTCTGTTTCTTGGAAATGGACCCTACAAATTTGCCATTCTTAGATATGCCAGTTGAACTATAGGAATAAAAAACAAACAAACAAAAAACATCATGAATCACACATTTTGTAGTCATTTTCCAATGTTTATTGCTATGTAAAACTTTTCCCAGATAAACATAGTGCCCAGAACAGCATTCTCTCTCCAGTTTGTGCCACTATGAAAAGAATGAAAACAACAAAAAAGCAGTTGATTATAAAAATGTATTTGCATAGAGGTAACTAAAAAAAATGCAACAGAAAACCCCTTTAAAATTGTAATTCTAATTTAGTCTAAGTCTAATGAGAATTTGTTTACAGAAATCGTGCCAAAAGATGCCAAAACATATTCAAGGCTCAGGTTGAAAATATATTTTCTTCCCTTTAACAAACAAATAGGTAAAAATGATTAAGAACAATGCTTCAGTATTTTACAATTATTACCTTTAAAAATATATCTCCTGTAATCATTGTTTGTTTCTATTGTGACTAAATGCAAGACAAATGAATGGTTAATAGGAATTATAATTTTATAATTATAAAAGTCAACCATTTTGAGCAAGAATATACAGTGGGTACGGAAAGTATTCAGACCCCCTTAAATTTTTCACTCTTTGTTATATTGCAGCCATTTGCTAAAATCATTTGTTAATTTTTTTCCTCATTAATGTACACACAGCACCCCATATTGACAGAAAAACACAGAATTGTTGACATTTTTGCAGATTTATTAAAAAAGAAAAACTGAAATATACTGTATATATATATATATATATATATACTGTATACAGTGGGGCAAAAAAGTATTTAGTCAGCCACCAATTGTGCAAGTTCTCCCACTTAAAAAGATGAGAGAGGCCTGTAATTTTCATCATAGGTATACCTCAACTATGAGAGACAAAATGAGAAAAAAAAATCTAGAAAATCACATTGTAGGATTTTTAAAGAATTAATTGGTAAATTCCTCGGTAAAATAAGTATACAGGAGTGCTTATAGTAGAGATGGGAGTGATGACTGTAGAGGAGAAATTAATACAAGTAGACATGCTAAGACTGGAAGTTGGCAGTAAAGGACTGAGAGCAGATGTGCCACATGAGAGAGAGAGAGATGTGGAAGCTTTTGGACAGGCTGATATTGTGGAGAGCTGATGGAGAAGGACTAAGTAATCTGTGAGAAATCATGCAAGAAGGAACAAAGAGAATGCATCACATGATGAACAACAAAAACACTGACAACAACAAATAGCAGATAACAACATTCTGTAACTGCAGCGTGTATAAAAGTAAACAGAACAGTATCGTCTGTTGGTGTGGATGCTAAAATTGTTCTCATTATAGTTCTTGTTCTTGGTGTGAACAGCTTTAAGTGATCTGATTTGGCCAAATTAATTGAAGATCTGATTTGTCACGTGACAAGTTAAACTAGCATTTCCAGACTCTTGCTTCTAAGACAGATGTGTTCAAAAATCAACATAGAAAGAAAGGCAGACTATGAGGTGTGGACAGTTATCACGTACTGTTGGAACAGGAAGAGACGGCACCAACTTGTAAAGATTAATAAAGAATACAATGGACAATATAAACTTTATGATATAAACACTTTTAGAATGGGCACAATCTGCTTGGGAGTTGAGGCAATGGCCAATGACAGCAGTAGGAGTAAAAGACTTTTGTACGCGTATGCTTGTGCAGTATCATATGAAAAAAAAAAAAATTGGAAGTGTTTGCCTTTGCAGCTTTTGGTCTTCTCCACAAGATGGTCAAATTCAAATCCCATGACAGGCCTTCCTTTGGTCTTCCCTTTCAGCTGAAACGAAGGGAAATATAAACATGTTGAGACAGTGTGTTAAAAATGATCTGTGACCAAAATATTTGTTTAACACATAATATAAGGATGCGTTCATTAAAGCAAATCAGTTTTAACTAAATGTCTTCAACATTACCTGTGAAGGGTTGAACCTTTGAAGGACTTGTTCAGCCTCCTTGACAACTTCTTCAAGATCAGCATTGGGAGCGTTGAGTTGAAGTTCCCTGTTAATTCTAGCAGAGAGAGAGAGAGAGAGGAGAGAAAGAGACTTTTACAATAGATGGCTTCTTTAAAGAGCTGCTGGAGTATGTGATCTGATGTAACTGCAAGACAGAAAAAAAATATTGAATTACAATGACTTCACAAAAAGGTATTAAAGGCATGGCAAGCATTGTGGTTACTGTGCTTTACAAATGGTAGAGTAAAAACACAGTTACTGAGGTAAGCCCATAGTAAGTGTTGTGGTGATTATGCTTTAGTAACTACAAATACCACAGTAAAACTACGATTACTGAGGTAACGGCATGGTAAATATGTTGTAGTTACTGTGCATTGGCTACACATGACAAGGTCGAGCAACAGTTAGGCTACTATGGTAAAAATATGGTAAATGTGTGGACTTTTTACATGATCACGATTATCACGCGATACCGGGTTGGTTGATTTATTGTGCTGTCATCAGCCATGTTTAAAAGCTGAAGACCCTTGTCACAACATGATTAAAAACGGTTTTATTTATTTCAAACTGCAACAGGTCTATATCCCAGCTAACAAAAATACATACCTGTTACGTAACTGAAACGTAATCTGGTGACCAAAGTTACGTCGTGGCAACCGGAAAAGTGAAAGGTGCGTATACGTTGCCACAACGTAACTTTGTGACGTTGCCAGTAAGTAACAGCTACGTCGTGGCAACGTCGCAGATCACTAGTTGTGTGCTGGTAATCAATAGGTAATTTTGAATATTTATTTATTTTCTATGGGCGGACATGCAGTAGTTTAACCTAATTTATGTCCTCATATGCCCAAAGTAATTTTTTAAAGTTTCAACAGCTGTGAATGATGAATACAGACTCGAAATTAATTCAGTTCATTTATTTTGAAAAACGCACAAATATGAACAGTAAAATACACCCAAATTATTAATAAAAACAGGATATACAGCGAAATATAAATGAAAGTATTCAGCCCATACAGAAGTCACATAGATTGAAATATATTAATAGTAAATACATTGTCATATATTTAAATATCTTAAATTTAAATAGAAGAAAATATATTTTATACAATATATGTAAATATATTTAAATATTTGATTTTGGTCACTTTTTAAAATTTTTCACATATAAACATATGTAAATATATTTTTATCAGAAATATTTATATATATTGATTTCCTTTATATGTAAATACATTTATATATCAGACTATGTAAATATATGAATTTGCAATATATGTCCATATATTAATTTCTAATATTTCTTAACATTACATCTATGTATATGTAAATATATTAGATTTCTATAAATATAAATATATTTGAAAACAATATGTAAATAAATTAAATCTACATATATGTAAATGTTTTAATTTTATATAGATTATAATTTGCCCCTTCATAATAAATCAAACAGAAATTGGAAACGGGAAAAAATTTAAAAATCTCCAGACAATGCAACTTGAACAAAAACAGTGACAATATCAATTGAATTGACTTATTAATATAAAGAGTAAATTTATCAACACCAGTTCAGCATGAACCAACAAAAATTATGAATGCTCATGATGTTTCTGGCACATAAATAAAAGATGATGCTTCTGTAAGCATCCAGGGTCAAAACATTATGCACAAATACCAACACATTGCATTTAAATATTTAAGAGCCATCATTAACCATGCACACAATTCATCAACTAATCACACCCTTAACCAACCCACTTCAAATAATGAATTGAAAATCATATGGAAAATCTTTTTTCTTTTTTTTGGGCAATTCACCATTTAAAAAAAAAAAAGTAATATCATGCCTGGGCTTCTTTCATTGCAGGTTACATTGTTATGCCAGAAGGTGGCAGCCAGAGACTGTCTTAATCAGTTAGTTAACCACTGAAATAATACTATGACAAAGATATTACTTTATGGATATACAGCAAATGTGCAGGGAATTGTGCTTCACACTGGTGCACTTATG